TCTGCATCCAGAAACCCCTCTCTACTCCCACCCCCGGCAAGAGAAATTAAGCAAGAGGGAGTAAGTACCACCTCACCCCAAGTGGATAGGGCTCCAGGGGTCACAGGCAGGTCAGCACTGAAGGTGAAATCCAAATGAAACATAAACATAGTATTGTGAAAAGCAGACCAATCTCCCTAGCTCTCCAGCCAGCATTAATCTCGGCATCAGCTGTGGTGCATAACCTAAACACACAGACCAGGCGGCTCATACATCTGGAAGCTGTCATCTCCTGGAAGCTCCAAGCAGCGCTGGATGCATCTGCAACAGTCCATGACCCAAACTGGCTTATGAACTAACTTCTTGGTGGGTCAAGAATGGTGGGCAGCCTGGAGATGGGTCCGGAGCTCACCATCTGCCCTGCGTGGGGAATACCTGAGCCACCCGCTGTTTTCTTTGCAAGTACTTATTGGTGGTTTTAACTTGTCATTCATTTTTCCCTGGGTACAAAGGGAACACCAACAACATGCTTGCACCTCTCTTGTGTGCACTTGTTCACAAACACACACCACAGTGATGCCTTTGCAGACCCAATTAAACCTGCAAAACACAGGTCTTCTACCCAGCTACTTAGTGGTTCTCAGTTGGGGCCTCTCACAATGAATGGGTATGATGACTTGATGAGGACAGTGTTGCTGGGACCTAGTGGGTAGCATTCACGGATTCTGCTGCACAGCCTCTAGGGTGCACAGCCTCTCACAGTGGAGAATCACCCGGATTCATATGGCAAGAGTGCCAAGGCTGAGCAACGGTAGGATGGTGGCTCTAACTGTGCACAGCCCACAGCAAACACACAGTGCAGACTTGAGAGTGAGACAGCCCATCAAACAAGAATGTTTTTAAAAAAGCAAAATCTCCTATTTCTCTTTAAAAAAAATTCTCATCTTCCTCCCCAATACTGGCCTTAAAGCCCTTAACAATCAAACACCAGGGCAATATGGAATCATTTCAAGGTTGTTGCCCTCTTCAGAAAAGGAGGCCAGGCGCTGGCTAAGCTTTTATCTCGGGGAGATAAATGAAGATTCTGTCACAGGAGTACCTTGACAACAAACTTGTGACAGAGAGCTTGGGGGGGGGGGGGAGAGCACGCAGAGGGGAAGCAGATATTAAGGAGCTAGAACAGCAGATCTGTTAACTCAGGGAAGAAATGCTATTGAGAAATGGGCACAGTTCAAAAGCAAAATCAAAACAACAAAACAAAAACAGCTCCCATCAGCACCCTGAGAAGCAAATGCAAGCACTTTTGGCATCAGGGAGGGGACCAAGAGCTAAGAAGCACAGATCTACAACAGTATCTTGGAGAGCCCACACAGGCCCTAACCACTCTACATGGCACACACCCCTGTGGACCTTCCAAACCACCAGATGCCCAACCCCTACTTCATCCACCCCCTCCATGGTCACTGGAAGGTGAACATCTGAAGGCCACCACAAATTATTATTATTACTTTTGAGTCTTCACCCTTCCTCTTTGTTATGCCTAGAATATTCCTCATCTCCACTCTCCCAAGCCTGGGACCATCCTGAAAGTCTCCCCTGATTTCCTTAACAACTTGGCAATTAACCACCTAGTGACTCATCTATAGATGGTCATCATTCTTTCTCTCAAGTGTCTTGGGCAGTGCCTGGTGCAGAGTAGGCACAGAGAACCCACACTGGTCAAATGCATCTGCGTGGAAATAACCACTCGTGGCTTTGTGTTTATGAGCCACCATGTTTCTGTGATAGTAGGTGCCCAGCTACACCAAGGTCTTTATCAAACCTTTTTGGCCCACTCACAAGTAAGCTCTTGTTGACATCTGTGACATGTAAAAAAATACACCCTAAGACTCAGGTGTGTTGACACCTCACATACGATGGAAAGTTTCTAGAAAGGCAATCATTAAACCAACATCTTAACAGAATCAAAAACATTATCACTTATGCATGCACAGAAGGCGTGCACATGTGGGAAGGGAGGGAGGGAAACAATGGCTTCATCTTTGTGGTAAATGGATTGACTATCTTAATAAGCTACGTTTTTCTTCAGGATGTTATGCCACGAAGTCAAGGCAAAGATAGGGCTGTCGAAGTGATTTCCCTTACTTTTTAGCCATAGTAAAAATATTTTGGCAGACAGGATGCACACAGTAAGCCTGTGTGAAGACAGCCACACAAGCACAAAGGCAGGAGAAACCGTCCCCCCAGCTTCCCTTTTCTCTTACAATCTGTCTTTCCTCTCTTGTGATGCTTAACTGAGGACATGTGAGACCTCCCTTGTCTGTCTGTATGCACGGCAAGCTGGTGGCTCCTGTAATCACACCCAGAACCTGAAGAAACCATCAAGCAACAGCGTGCTTCGCTGACAGGATAAAGAAGGGACTGGAGCAAAGATGAGCCTCAGCTTGGGCCTGATGCTCACTGTGACTCTCCGACCTCCACTGTCACCCATCACCACCGGGAATTTACTCCTCAAAGCCAAGACCCACAGGAGAACACTAAATTCCATACAGCATAAACAAGACCTCAGGTTACTGTGACATTGGGTTCCCCTTGTCCAGTTTAATTTATGAAACTTGCTTCTTGTAGAAGGCAAGAATGAATAAATGAATGAACGAGGCCAAGTCAATATCAGACTAAACAGCGGAAATCAATGAACGCCAGGCAAAGTGAACATGAATAGAAATGCAGATGACCATTTATGGTCATTATTGGAAAAGTTGTCACTTGAAAAAAGGGATAGCTGTTGTAAGGAACATTATATACATATATATATATATATATATATATATATATAGGTACTTTATTGAGTTCCAAGACTTATAAAAAGAAATACATACTACCTGGAGTATGGTGGTTGCTTAAAATGTAGGTGTTAAGTGTTCCCAGGAACCAATGAGCCATACTAAAATGCCAATGCAGGAAGGAGCTAAGACCCCTGAGCCTGGAGTTGGGGATGTGGAGGAGGGTTTGCCTAGCATGGTCGGGCCGCAGTATGGTCTGTACTAGTGTCTGTGTGTGTGGAGGGAGAGGGGGCGTTCAAGATGCCCAAAGCAGGCCAGGGTGTGCCCCCGTACTGACCACCTTCCCACTGAACCCTGCAGTCCGTCTTCACAAATCTCATGTCATTCTTGAAACAACTACTCCAACTACTAAAAACCAAATCGCACATGGTCATCGGTGTGGAAAAAGTCAACTGTGGGACCACTAGCTCTGGTTCTACAGCCCTGCTGGTCAGTTCCTGCACCTAGGACCTTTACTTCCCTCTCCGGGGGTCTTGTTGACAGTGGCCTCTTCCTACTACAGCATCCTCTTGCTAGCCTCTCCAGTACTCCTGTCTGCCTCAAGACATCACTAAGGCCTTTTTTCTCCTAATTAAACGTTCATGGACCAGTCCAAGTGTAAACGTAAACTCGGGGAAAATACATTGAATTCCAGAAGACTGAAGCACAGATCTCTGGGCAGTGTCTCCCAACACAGTGCTTGGAACAGCATAGACAGTATAGAAACTCAGGAAACTTGTTGCTAGGGGACTAAGTGGGTGCTCAATAAAACTAGTCCCTGAACTACCAATGACAAGGAAGCAAAGTGGCGTAAATTACGTAATGGAATCAATCCAAAGGACACGTTTGTATTCATTAACCAAGCTACCTTAAGGCAAGAATGCGTTCTGCTTTTGACGATTTGGACTATTAATTGTTACTTTTCAACTATTATTTTAATTGTCACTTCTCAACTAAATACTCCATTAGTTTGCAGAACACCAAAAAGTGGATATTCTGGAAGGTTAGTTTCCAATACCATCCTGAGGAATTGCTCATTAACTCGGTTTCCAAATTTTATCCTGGGTGGCTTACAGTAGACACGCACCAGTTATCTGGGGTTGAAACATCTGCCCAACTACTCAGATGCCCAAAGCAGTGTATGCCGGAGGCTAAAATGTTTTCAAACAAGGGATTGGTAGTTTTCAAAGAGATGACTGAGAAACGACCAACGAAGAAAAAAAGGGAAAAGAAAGCCTGTAATCACAAAGGGCCTAAAATCGTCCATGGTGGTGGGGTGGGGGAAACAGCGAACCTAGTTTCAATTTAGAAGTCCTTTTCTAAAGCAGGTCCGCAACCCCCCAAATCGAGGAACGTGGATAAAAAAGACCGGCACACAAACCCCAGGGGGAGCTCCCGTGGCCCCTCCTATCAAACCTGCATTCTTTCAAAAAAAAAAAATTCTTTCTTGCGTGCCTGCCAAACGCAGCCTTCCCCCAAAATAATTCCATTTAAAAAGCCCCCACCCGCGAGGAAACATTAATCTATTTTGCAAACACGCGTTCCAGTTTGGGCTTTACTATTTTTTTTCAACCCCCCCCCACACCGCTTCCCCCCCCCCCTTTTTTTTGTACCTTGAGACAAATGTTTTTTTCCCCCAGAGTTGAAAGCTGTCCAAAAACAGGACCACACACGCGGCCGCCTCCGCAGGCCCGCGCGGCGCCCGCCCCCCGCGCGCCCCGGGGGCGCGCACACTCCCTGCAGCTAGAGGGGTGGCCTTGCCCTCCACCCCCTCTTCTTTCTCGGCAGACGCGGTGGGTGGGGGGGGGGGGGAGGGAAAAAAGCCGAGCCCAGGAGCCCAGATCCGAGAGGCCTTCCCCGGGCCGCTGGCACCCTGGTCAAAGCCAGGCGGGCGGCTGTGGCGGACCTTGGGGACCCCCCCTCGGCCCTACCGAGTGGTCCGTCCCGCGCAGGGGCCTCGCGCCCCCGCCACTCTCTCCCACCACACCTAGCAAGGCGCAGCGCCCCGAGTAGATTACAGCGCGGCCTTTGTCGGGAGGGCCTGGCTGCAGGCCAGGCATGCAAACAATAAACAGTCGCCCCTGGTGCGGGCAGGGGCTCCACTGGCCACAGCGAGGCTCTAGGTGCAGGCTGGCAAATATCTTTATCAAACACAGGGAAGGAAGACGAAGGACGCGCCAGCGGCGCCGGGTCTCTTACCTTCCACCCACAGCTCCTCCACGTTGGTCTCGAGATTAGCTGCCTTTAATCCCACAGCGAAGGCCCCAAATATGAGGAGACCCACAACCAAAAACTTGCCGCAGTTCTTTTGAATGTAACAACCCAGTTTAAATAAGAGTCTCTGAAACTTCGCTCTCAGCCACAGCGGCGCTTTCCGGCCAGTAGCCTTCCCCTGGGGATGAAGCAGAAGGGAGGAGTGAATGCCGGGGAGTCGCTATCCGCGCACACACGCCTGGGGACCCCCCACCCCAGCAGTGGGGGGCGTGGGCGGCCGTGGCTCAGGGACTTGCCCTCGGGGCTGGAACCTGGACCGGTCAGAGGGAGCCCTGGGGGCATGGGGGGGGGACTAGGTTGTAAATCAGAACGAGGCTGCAGCGTGGGAACTGCACTCTAGGGACCACGGGGCGCCCCCACGCGTGGCCTGTGCACTATCCCTGAATGAAACTTGGCTTGCTGGGGAGAGAGGCTAACAGAGGAGCCGCCAACGACAGGCAGGCACTAGTATCCCGGTCCGGGAGAGGGAGGGCAGAGAAGTTCAACATTTAAATCACCAGGCCACGACCCCCCCTTGCCCCAAGTCCTGCTTCAGCCGTGGGCTTCCTCCGGTACGCCGGAAGGCGGGTGAAGAACGCAAGCGCACTTAGGGACAATATACAGCGACCGTGGCCCATCTGGCCCCCGGCCTGGCGTGGCTGCACGCGGGGGTCCACGTGGTGAGCCCAGCAGCCAGAGCTCGCTCCACACACTTTGCCACGGCTTTGGAAGACGACGCGGGGGCTCAGTTAGAAAGTGCGGCAGCCATCTGCAACTTACACTATTTGTGTTCGGAAGAGGGCGGCCACAAGGATCTTTCCCTCCTCTCCCACTCCCTCCTGGTGAAATCTTTTAAGAAAAAAAAAAATAGCCGAGTACACGGGGAAGAGGCCCAAACCGGCGCCGGCGGGGGTCCGGGCTGGGCGCAGGCTGCTCTCGGGACGGCAGAGCCCTGGTGCTGGCCAGGGCCCCGGCCGGCCCCAGGCTAGGTGCTCGCCTTCCCTGGATTCCACACAGTTCAGCCAGCCTCGTAAACACAATGAACCCGGTCGTTCCGCACACCAGCACCGAAGATTTAAGGTGGCAACTTGTTTACAACTGCCCCTCTCTCCGGCAGGCTGGGAGAAGAGGCGGCCCAAAACCTGAAAGAGAGGGGACGTCCTCTCCCGAGAATAATTTTTAAGGAAGCAGAGATTTCAAGCTCAACGAAAGCAGAACCGGCTGCCAAAAAAGGAAACCACCTTTACTTTGGCTCCCACCCCTCTGCCTCTCTCCGCCTCTCTCCACTCCGCCTCCCCCTCGAAGAGGTTAAGAAATGTGGCAACGCGGAGGTTTAAGGCTGCAACCGAGGGCAGGGGCTCGGGTGAACGGCGTTGGGGCCCGGGGCAGCGCTGCACCGCAGCCCGCCCTGGAGGTGGTCCACTCAGGACGGTTTCCAAAGCTCCGGAAAAGGCACACCAGGGAGGGCGTGTGCGCGCGCACACACCACACACGCACACACACGCACGCACGCACCCCTCCACCCCCTGCGGACTTCAGACAGCCCTTTCCTCCGAAGTCCGGAGGGAGGGTTTGAAATTTTCAACCTTCACTTGTCTTCTGCTTTTTCAGGAGGGTGTCTGTGTGCGTGTGTGGCAGGGATCCCAAAGAGGAAGAAGAGGGAAGAGTGGAGAGGGAGGAGGGAACAGACGTGCACCTTGGAAATCTGCTCCAGAGCGAAGGCGGCGTCGCAGTAGCTGGGCCGGTGCAGATAGTCCCGGTCCGGAACGGCGCGGTGAGGTCCCCCGGTCCGTCTGCGCCTCCCGCCGCCGCCGGCCTGCCTGCCCAGGGCCCCGGCGGCGTTACCAGCCGAGGCCATGTTGCCGCCGCCGCGGGCTCCGGGCGCGCCTGGGCGCTCGGCTCGCGAGGACGCTGCTGGCCGCCGGGGACTCCGGCTCCGGGTGACAGACCCGCTGCTGCCGCTCACACGGCGGGCGCTGCGGGTGCTGCGGCCGTGGCCGCTGCCGGGGACTCAAACCCTGCCCCTTCCATTGCCACATTGCGCGTGGGTCCCGAGGTCTCTGTGGCCGCCGCTGCCCACATCCAGCTCGCGGGAGGGCGAGAGCCGGCGCTTCCAGGGCGCGCCTCGCGGTCCCCAAGTCCCCCCAGACGTCCCCGCCCCGCGCCGCGACCCCTTCACGGCAGAAGGCGCGCGCAGACCCCCGCCACTCGCGCTGGCTTCCTCGGCGCCCGCTGCCGGCGACGCGACGGTGCCCGGCGGGTCTCAGCGATGCCGGGCCGGGGCAGCCGCTGCTCCCACTGTTCCCGCTGCTGCTGCTGCTGCTGCTGCTGCTGGTGGTGGTGGTGGTGGTGGTGCTGCTGCTGCTGCGGCTGGGGTTGGCGGTGGCGGCTTCTGAAGCGGCTGCTCGTTCTCGGACTGCTGGGTTCGCGGTGGCTGCTCGGTCCCGGACTTTGCTTTCTTGTTCTCCTCACCGACCCGCTGGACCATTCTGCCCCCGCGCCGCGCGCCTCTCTCGCTCCCGGGACCTGGGCACTCCGCTCTGTGTGTGTGCAGCGGGCAGCGGCCGCAGCAGCTCCTTGACTCAATAGATGAGATGGAAGAAGAAAAAAAAGAACTCTCTCCATTTGGAGAAAGAGGAGGAGGAGGGGAGGGGGTGGAGGGGGAGAGAGCGAGCGAAAGAGAAAAAGGCTGGAACTCCCGCCCCCGGGGCTGTCAGATGGCTTGGGTTTCTGCGACGCGATTGGCTCGCGGAGGGCAGAAATTACTCAGCAAACATGACTATTATTAGCTGCTTAGCAACAGCTCACCAAAGTAGAGAGACCACCCAGGTAGGCAACCCCCGTGTGTGCATCCCCGGCTGGGGGGGGGGGGGGGGACTCGCTCAGCGCCAACCTTCTCTCATGCAATACTTCCATTAAGGAATGCTCCCCCTCCTTTCTTTCTTATTTCTTTTCTTTTCAACAGTGTCTTCTTTTTGTGAGACGGCTTTTGCGAGCGCGCGCGCAAACACACGCACACGCTCACACATACAGGAGCATTTGCCTCGCAATAGACACAGGGGATATGTAATATTTTTTTAAGCGCTTAAACAATTTCTGAGATTCCTCAAAGAAAACCCTTTTAGAGGCTCTTTGGCCTCAAGCTGCAGCAAATACTGGGAGGTCCGCCTTGAATTCCCAGGCCTGCACCAATAATGACAGGGTGGTGGATAGTGCGCCAGTGTGTGCCAATTTTTTTTTCTCCTCTTTTCTTTTATAACCAAAGGCAAGACTTAGACTCTCGCAGGGAACAACGCCTCGTATTAAGATAAACAAAATGGAAATCTAAAGAGAGCAAGGATATTGGGAAAAGCCACCTTTTAAAAAATCCCCTGGCACACCCCCCCGCAAAAAAAAATACACAACAGCACAGTCCAATTTGAAAGAGTTTGTAAAGAGAACCCAGACACATAGTCTCGTAGAAGTTGAGGCTTTTTTTTATTTGACTCATTAATATATATATTAAAAAAATCTTTTCAGGAGCCCAGAGAAATGAAATTGAGAGATTTCCTGATTATTTGGGTTTCATCTGGACCCCCCTTTAATTAATCATATTCTTACATAAAGTCAATTTTAGGCTTTAAAAAAATAAAACTCGGTGTGCATCCTGTAATATTTAATAGTGTGACGTAGGAGAGAATAAAGGCTTTGATGTCGGATTCATTTGAAACAAATTGTGGGCAGATCGCGAGGATTTGTACTGCTATTGCGTCCAGTGTCACTAAGACATCCCGGGGATTTGCTTTACATTGAACAAAAAACATGCGACCTTCGGGGTGGGGGGAGTCCTGGAACCAGCGACAAATTAAACTGTCTACACAACTACGCTCTTTAAGGGGGGGGGGACGACTTAAGAAAGCACATTCCATTCTCCAATAAGTTTTCAAGTTAAGTTCCTCCCTCAGTTGACACCAGACCCAGAAACACTGGATTCTGCTACATCCTATTATTTTTCTTTTCCCACTTGAACTGTAGAGGGAACCGGAGTAGTAAGAAGCCAACAGAAGCCGTGAAATGGGGCAGTGTGGCTTTAAGATGCACACGGTGTGTGTTCATTGAAAAAAAAATAAGAAGAAAGAGAAGGAAAGAAAGAAACCCAGATGGAGGGAAAGGGGGAGGAGCGGGGGAGAAGGCGGAGCTTGGTTCTCCACGTGACCCAGGCCGAGAGGCCCGTCCGCGCGCACGCGTTGACGCGCACGCGCGCTCTGGTCTGGGGCCTGCGCCGGGCGCAGGCACAGCAGGTAACCCGGTCGGCTCCCTGGGCCTGCGCGCCCTGAGCCCTCAACGCGGTATGCACCGCCTTCCGGGGCCCTGAACGGTGTGCGCGCCTGGCCGGCGCAGACAGACGTGCCGGACACGCCGTAGTACATTCCTGAAGGCGGCCCGGCCCCCTCGCGCTGCCCAATGCGTGCACGGCCTCCCTGCTGACGGCCAATGGCTGCGCTTCGGCCCTTCCATTCAGTGGCGCAGGCTGCGGCTAGGCAGGGGCAGTGCACGCGGCTCCCAGGGGGCCTTTCCCTCCCACCGCGTTGCACTCACGCCGCTGCCTAGCCTGCCTACCCACCCTCCAACCTCATCTCCTTCCAGACTTCCTTAGGGCGCTTTACCATCCTGAATCCCAAATCCACAAAACCTGAGCGGTTCCTGAAGCCGGGTGGTGAATCTGAGCGATCAGTGACCGAGTAGAAGTGTTTGGGGGTGCTCACAGAATAAGGAAGAGGACCTGGGTGCTGGGCCAGCGCGGAAATTCAAAATTCCTAACACCAGGGAGCATGTGATTTTCCAACGACTGACTTTCGGAAGTGCAGCTGAAAAATCCTTAAGGGAAGGCATGCAGGGTGAAGGAAAGGACACTACCTTAAGAGCGAGCAAAGTGCTGGAAGCGGAGCTGCTAAGCCTTGTAGTAAAATCCTTTTCTCTGATAGCTTATCAGCATAAAGCAAAAAAAGTATGAACTACTATTTTAGCTTTCATATTTCTTGCTCTCGGAAATTGGGTTGTTTTCAATACTCGAGGGTGACACCCCGAGTTCAAAGGTCAGCGTGATTTTAAATTTGAAGCTGGCTATATGTATGGCAGGCAGTTAACTACATAGCCCTATGAAAGTAATCTTTCGAATTCCTTACAGTATTTTACTCCTAAGCATTTGCTTCCCCCCCCCCCCACACACACACACACGGGTTTTACTTCTTCGATTGCATATAGCTGTTTGGATTCTAGGATTCTAGAATGGAACTATAGTCTAGCTATGCAAAGCCTCTTACATTCGGACGCTTTTCCCTCGGCTTGACTTAATTCTTAAACGTTTTGAACATGGAACCCTGAGGTCTGCAGAGCTCAGCAAACTCCTCGCCCGCTGTTTGATAGGTTAACTTTTCAGCATCTCAGACAATGGTCCTGACCTGTAAACTCTACCCGTAGGTTTCAGGACGCAATCCCCAGGCTCTCTCTAACAAGCCCTATCTTAATCTCCCCAGCCCCCACCCGCCACTTCCCCTGTGGTCTGCTTTTTTCATAGAGATGAATTACTTTGGGGATCTAATTGGCCTTGTTTCTGTAACGTTTTAAGAAAGGGAAGAGGAGCCAGTCTAAAAAGGCTGCTCGACTTGGGTGGTCAGGGCCGAGGCTGCCCCCAATTTGCCTCATTGCTGATGCCCATGAGTGTGACATTCCCAGCGATAATGTTGTTCCTAATCAATCTACCCTTATTTACATTTGTAAGCCTTGTCGGCTTTAATATGCATGCCCTGTGCAGGGGACCGCTGAGCCACACCGGGTTTGTTAACTTCCAGCTAACCGCAAGGATTCCACAGACCTGAGGGGCAGAGTGGAGGAGGCAGGCCTGCTAAGGTGTCTGCTGGCAGTTCAGTCCCTTTAAGGGTCTTTCTGCCTGGTGACTCCCCAGATAACTGAGAACCTAAGGCCTTGACAAGCAGAAGTTGCCAGCCTCTGTGAGGCTAGAGTTGAGTGACCGTCCCCTCTTCCAATTTAAGCTTAAATGAAAACAGAAATTGTCATTCTTTTCTCCCCACTATGATCCAAGACTGTAGATTTCCATAACGGATTCCTTCAAAGCTCTGGATTTTCTCACTGTCTCCTCCCCTTTCTGTCCCAGTGCTTCAGATAGCCACAGCCATGCCACACACATCTCAAAAATGACATCAGATTGTCCGAGTGCTAAGATGACACTTGAGATAAAACATCTGTCCTTTGTGTTGGAATGTTCCAATGGTGCAAAGCTATGGGTGCCAGGCTTGTTGAGGTTTAACTTTTCACTGGCTTCTCCGATGAAACTAAGTGGATCTTTAAGATCCAGATAAATGAATAAAGGAGCAAAGGTGTTCCAGCCATTTGACCCTAGGCTTGGTCATAATTTTCCCACAACAAGTTTAATAGTTTTCCAGAAATTCAAAGAATTGCAAATATGATGCTAAAATCCTACAATATTTTTGTTGCAAGGATGGGATGCAGTGAGGAAGGGGATGTGATGTTCTATGTACGGCTGTTACAAGGGTAGGATGGAGACAGGGAGGAGGATTTGGTGTCCAGTGTATGGATGGGACAGGACAGGAGTGTTAGGCTAGGGCCTGGGCAGTTCAAAGGCATTTTGAATGAGAATTAAGCCTTAAGACAATCTGCCACCATCTTATCCCATTTTCTTGGCTCTCCACAAATGTCTTATTTGCTCACTGGCAGACTGTGTGTTTATACTGACTGTACAGGGAGATGGCAGAAAATGACCCTAAACGGTTTCAGGGAGGAGAGAAGGAAAGATCCTGAAGTCACCAGAGTGTAAAACTATTGGACCTGACTCCCCTCTCTTCTCTCTACCTCCAGCTTCCTGCCCTTACTAACTCCCCCCACCAGCCCCCCAGGCTGGAGGAAGGGGAACTGCTCTAGCCAACTTGTCAAAATAATGCTGCTAATTACCTCTGATCTCCTTTAATGGGAAGCTGCTCCCAACTCCACAAAGGAGTAAATGAAAGGGTCCACAGTACAGACCCAGGAGCCTACAGTGGGCTGGGGGTGGGGAGGGTATCCAAGGGGAGGTATCCTCAGAAGCTCCCAGAAAAGTCAGAGCCAATCACTGCAGGTTTAAATACTTGAAGAATTAGCTTTAAATGCAGTACCAAAAGCTACTGATTCCTTTTGCTAGGAATGTCACCAACTACAGAGTCTTCAGTGAACTTGACAG